CGTCGGACTCGGCCGGGGTCGCTCCTCCGGCCGCCGGCGCCGCGCCCGGCTCTGCGGCCGCGGCGTGTCCGGCCGAAAGCCGAAAGGAAGCGGGGCAAGCGCAGCCCCGCAGAGCCTTCGAGTACTTACCCATCCATGGCCCAGACGGAGGAGCGCACGGTGCGGGGACTGACGGGCTCACCGCGAGCGGAGGGCGGAGGCGGCGGCAGCTGGGCGGCTCCAGGGACGAGCAAGCGGCGCCTCTCCGGAGCCCCGCCGGGTGGGAGGTGGAGGAGAATGGGAAACAGGGGCGGAGACCAGGGACGCTCCCGCCACCGCCGCGCCCCCGCCTTCCCCACCCCGCAAGCGCGTCCCCGCCTCGCCTCACCCCGCCCCCTAGGGTCGACGCCCTCCCTCCGCCCCGCCCCCAGCCGGCCTCCCGCTCGGCTCCAGGGCGCCCTCTTCCTGCCGTCGCCCTAAGACTCCGCCTCCAGGCCTCTCTTCCCAGCGCACGCGCGCGCCTCGCCCTCGCCTCCCTCCTGCGTTCACGGGAGCGCGCTCCTTGTGCTTCCCGCTTCGCCGCCCCGCCCGCGGGCCCTGCCGGCCTTCCGGCCACTCTGCCTCGGGCCGCCGGGCTCCCACACCTCGGTCTCCCTGCGGGAAGAGCGTTGGAGACCCGGCTCTGGAGTGTAGGTAGGAGTGTCTCGCCAGGACCCCAGAACCTCGGCGGACTGGTGGGCGAGGCTGGCGGTGGCTGGACCCCAAGCACGGAAGCCCGGCGGGGGCCGTGGTCCTCGAAGCGCCGGGTCCTGTAACCCGAGGAAGCCCGGGCTCGGGCCCCGGGCCGGCGCGAACTCCCGCCAGTGCGGGGCCCGAGGGTCGTCCCCTGGGTCCTGGGAGCCGACTGCTGGGACTCGCACCGGCCCGATAAGTATGGTTGGGATTAAAATGAATGAGGTGAATGAAAGAGACTGCCGGAACTTGAGAACCTCTCAGTTGTGTACGGTTTTAGTCTCTGAGTGCTTTTCGAGCCGACAGTCTGGGTTTGAATTTATATGAAACATTCGTTGCACAATACGGAATGGCCACTATGTTGCCAGCGTTTTATAGTTTTTCATATCCCTCCATGTGAAGAAACAAACAAATCCTATGAGGGAGTGATTATTCCCTTTTTTTCAGATGAAAATGTAGACACTAATAGAGTGATTTGCCTACAGTTTCACAGCCACTAGAGCCCCTTCCTCTCCTCTGAGAAAAATTATGTATATAATTAGTGGCAACTCGCTTGTTTGCCCTTTTATATTCTGTCTAGTTCTGAAATTCAGTGATTTTTCAATGCACAGATCATCAAAACTTAAGCCACTAAACGCTGTCCTCGACCAAATTCCTAACCTGACTGGAAAGAGAGGACTGCTCCTCTTCAGCCTCCTCATTTGAGAAGCAAGTAACAAGACGCCTCAATCATCTGTCCTTGATAGTATATCCTGCTTTTAAATAAGTAGGAGCTACTAAAACGACTTAAACTGTCGATTCATCCATCATTAAGTCATTATTTATTGAGTGTTTACTATGTGCCAAGCACTGCAGGGATAACCAAGAAAATCAGGTTCCAGCCTTCATGGTTGAATGGATTCCTCAATGGCTTTATTATTTATTGGCAAAAAACAATTTTCAGATAGCTCAGGTCTTGGGGGCCCTATTTTTAAAGAATTGTATCTAACTTCAATCCCTCTTTCCAAAAGATGAATATATATTTTGTATGTTAAGTCCAAGTATTAAGTTGCAGTTGTAAACATTGCCACCCTACATTGCCAGATGGATGTTAAAAATATGAGCCAAGGGCGCCTGGGTGGCTCAGTCGTTAAGCGTCTGCCTTCAGCTCAGGTCATGATCCCAGGGTCCTGGGATCGAGTCCCACATCGGGCTCCCTGCTCGGCA